GGTCCTTGGAGAGGGACATCATGCTTGGTAGGGTGGAGGGACAGCACAGGAGGGGAAGACCCTCTCTGAGGTGGATTGATTCAGTGACCAGGGTAATCGGGATGGGTGTGTCAGAGGCAATGCGATTGGCACAGGACAGAGCAGGTTTTAGGGCTGTTGTACATAGGGTGGCTATGAGTCGCAAATGACTCGACGGCACATCACAACAACAATCAACAATATGTCCTATAATTTTAAGACAAAGTAAAAAGAAATCCTTTGTAGAATTTCTACTCTGTGAAAGTATCTTTTTTCCCTTTTTCTAATTGCCCAGAAATTAGCTACATGTCCATGGAGTTGTTCTACAGGGATGTTGTTGTTAGGTCCATCTAGTCAAGTATCTCTCATAGCGACCCTATGAACAACAGATCTGAACCCTGTCCTATCCTGTGATAGGATCATCTCTGATACACTTGATTCCATTTCTACAGCCACTGTGTCAATTAATCTTGTTGAGGGTCTTCCTCTCTTTCACTGACCCTCCACCCTTCTAAGCATGATGCTCTTTTTCTCAGAAGTAGCCTCTCCTAACAACATGGCCAAAGTATGTGAGACAAAGCTTCACCAACCTTTCCTCCAAGGAGCACTCTAGTTGTACTTCTTCTAAGATAATCTCTGCTTGTTCTTTTGGCAGTTCATGAGGTATATGACACTCTTCTCCAACACCATTATTCAAAGGTATTGTTGTTCTTTCTATCATCTTTTATTCACTGTTTAGTTCTCAGATGAATACCAGGTGTTAATAAAAGACTATGGTGTGAACAAGGTACACCTTAGTCTTTAAGCTGACATCATTGCTCTTTAATATTTTGGAGAAGTCCTTGACTGCAGATTTGCCCAGTGCAATATGTCTTTTGATATTCTTGACTACTGGTATTGGTGGTGTCAGCTGTGGATTCAAACAAGATGAAATAATTGACAACTTAAATCTTTCCTTCATCTGTTATGATATTGCCTATCAGTCCAGTGATGAGGATCTTTGTTTTGTTAATGTTGAGATGTAATTTGCGGCTGTAGTCTTTGATTTTCTGGAACAAGTGCTTCAAATTGTCGTCACTTTTACTAAGCAAGGTTAAGCCTTCTGCATAATGAACATTGTTGATTAACCTTTCTCAGATCTTGATCCTTCTTCATAAAGTCCAGCTTCTTGAATGATTTGTTCAGCACACAAGTATGGAGAGAGGATACAAGTATGATGCACACCTTCCCTGATAAACCATGCAGTGTTCCTCTGTTCTATTTGGATAATAGCTTCTTGGTCTAAGTTCCATATGAACACAATTAAGTGTTCTGGGATTCTCATTTTTCTCAATGTCGGATATAATTTGTTATGATGAACTCAAATGCCTCTGCATAGTCAATAAGCCACAAGGAGACATTCTTCTGGTATTCTCTGCTTTAAGCCAAGATACCTTCTTATATCAGCAAATATATCCCTTGTGCCGTGGCCTCTCAAAACCAGCTTGAACTCTGGCAGTTCTTTGTCAATGTCCTGTTCCAGCTAATTTTTTAGTGACTTTCAGTAATATTTTGCTTACATACCATATTACTGATGTTGTTTGATAATTTTCATATTCTGTTTGATCACCTTTCTTGGGAATGGAGCAAATATGGACCTCTTCAAGACAGTGACCTATTTCCCCCCTCCTCTGGATCTATAGCATTTAAAGGATGTAGAACCTCCTGTACTAATATTGTCTTTTAATGCAGACTAATTAGAGAAGACTTTCGTGAGACAGAGTCAACTCAAATGTAACTAACAACAGTAAAGAAGGAACAAGGAGAGCTGAGGTTTATTAGAGAAAATGATCTTTGTTTCTAGAAACAAACTGCTATTACATTTAAGTTCACTGGTTATCTTAATCTAACATTATAAACTGCCCTCTTACCCCAAAAGAGTGCTGGAAACTTAAACCCTATGGAACAAATCAGGCTTTAGCCTTGTTTTCTTTAGACTGCTATGCATTTTGTTTTAATTTGAGTGGGGTTGTGTGTGCGCATGTGTCTATGTTTTTGGTTTTAGTTGAATTATTTTCAATAGGGTGATTTCACCCATAATAAGAGATCTGAATCTTCTTGTCAAGTAGAAGTATTTGGTAGAAGGAGGGCTGAAGAGTAGTGGTCCCCACATAGCGGTTGTACAGTCTCTACTTGGCCACAGTTGT